TTTGCTACTACCACCAAGATCTGCACTAGAGGCCGTTCTACCCGGGGTCACCCCCAAGGCTTCGTCACGAGCCTCCACGCCTGCCTACTCGCCGGGGCTTAAATCTTGCCCCGGCGGCGGGGTATGGGTAACACGCTTGAGCGCCATCCATTTTCAGGGCTAGTTCATTCGGCAGGTGAGTTGTTACACACTCCTTAGCGGATTCCGACTTCCATGGCCACCGTCCTGCTGTCTAGATGAACTAACACCTTTTGTGGTGTCTGATGAGCGTGCATTCTGGCACCTTAACCCCGCGTTCGGTTCATCCCGCATCGCCAGTTCTGCTTACCAAAAATGGCCCACTAGTAACGGTACATTCAAGTGTCCACGTTCAATCAAGTAACAAGGACTTCTTACATATTTAAAGTTTGAGAATAGGTGAAGGTTGTTTCAACCCCCAGGCCTCTAATCATTCGCTTTACCTCATAAAACTGAATTTGTTACTGCTATCCTGAGGGAAACTTCGGCAGGAACCAGTTACTAGATAGTTCGATTAGTCTTTCGCCCCTATGCCCAAATTTGACGATCGATTTGCACGTCAGAACCGCTGCGAGCCTCCACCTGAGTTTCCTCTGGCTTCACCCTATTCAAGCATAGTTCACCATCTTTCGGATCCCAACAGCCATGCTCTTACTCAAATCCTCCTGAAGACATCAGGATCGGCCGATGGTGCGCCCTAAAGGGTTCCCACCTCCGTTCACTTTCATTACGCGTTCGGGCTTGACACCCAAACACTCGCACAGATGTTAGACTCCTTGGTCCGTGTTTCAAGACGGGCCGCTTACAGCCATTACGCCAGCATCCTAGCAAATGCGCGGACCTCAGTCCAGGCTGGTTGCATGTCGTCTCCCCTATAAGGCCTCCCCGAAGAGAGGTACGTGATAGAGACCTTTATCCAACCGCCCAAACTGATGCTGGCCTGCCTATAGAAGAGTGCACCGGGCAAAAGCCCGGATGAGCAACTACAGTCAAGTCTGGCTGCAAGCGCTTCCCTTTCAACAATTTCACGTGCTATTTGACTCTCTTTCCAAAGTGCTTTTCATCTTTCGATCACTCTACTTGTGCGCTATCGGTCTCTGGCCAGTATTTAGCTTTAGAAGAAATTTACCTCCTATTTAGAGCTATATTCCTAAATAACTTAACTTGTTAAAGGGGCTTTACACAGCGAAGACTAGTAACTACGTATGGGATTCTCACCCTCTATAACGTCCTATTCCAAGGAACTTAGACTACTACTAACGCTAAAGCGCCCTCTACAAATTATAACTTAGACCCTAAAAGAGCTAGATTTCAAATTTAAGCTATTGCCGCTTCACTCGCCGTTACTAGGGCAATCCCTATTAGTTTCTTTTCCTCTACTTATTAATATACTTAAGTTTAGTAGGTATCCCTACCTAATCTAAGGTTAAGAGTTAATAAAATATCTTAATAGATACTAACAATCATAGCAAGAGGCGTAAAATGTGCTGCGCTCTAGGCTAATATACTAGCTACTAATTATTTTTAGGCGAGTCTAGTCTGCGCAAGCATAGAGAACATTCACCTAACACTAAGTAAAGCTTAAGGGTACAAATAACGCTTAAATAGGTATGCCCTATAGAATACTAAGGGGCGCAATATACGTTTAAAGATTTGATAATTCACTAAATTCTACAATTTACACTACTTATTACATTTCACTACGTTCTTTATTAATACTAGAACTAAGAGATCCGTTGTTAAAAGTTATAATTATTACATTATTACTAACGCTAACTGCAATTATAAGTAGTTTAAATTGTCCTTTTGGTAGGCAAGCCTACTAAGGAAACAAATAGTACGCAAAAAACATAGGTAGAATTAGAAAGGAAAGGGCTAGAAAGTAAGCTAAAGGCTGAAATCCTAACACTAATCCTCTAATAGAAGGGTAATAATCCTTCTACAGGTTTACCTACGGAAACCTTATTATGACTTTTACTTCCTCTAAATAACCAAGTTTAACAAACTTTCCAGCTTAAGGTAGTCGTTGCTAACCTCCTTAAGCTAGTCTAAAGGCCTTACTAAGCTATTTAATTAGTAGTAGCGACAGGCGGTGTGTATAAAGGGCAGGGACGTAATTAACGTATACTAATAACACGCGCTTACTAGGTATTCCTTATTAAAGAGTAATAATTATAATACTCTATCCCTAGTATAACAGAGTTTAACAAGATTACCTAGACCTTTTAGTTAAGGTAAAGAACTTGTTAGCTCTGTTAGTGTAGCGCGCGTGCGGCCTAGAATATCTAAGGGCATTATAGACCTGTTATTGCCTTAAACTTCTATTAGCTTAAGCTAATAGTCCCTCTAAGAAGCTAGCGACTAGCTAAAGCTAGCCTAGCTATTTAGTAGGTTAAGGTCTTGTTTGTTATTGCAATTAAGCAGATAAATTACTCTACTAACTAAGAACGGCTATGCACTACTACCTAAAAAATCAAGAAAGAGCTCTTAATCTATTAATCCTTATTTTATCTAGACCTAGTAAGTTTCCCTATATTAAGTTAAATTAAGCCGCAGGCTCTACGCCTAGTGGTGCCCTTCTATTAATTTCTTTAAGTTTTAGCCTTATAACTATACTCCCCCTAGAACCTAAAAACTTTAATTTCTTATAAGGTGCTAAGCGAGTTAGAAAAAGAACATCGCCTAATCCCTAGTTAGCATAGTTTACAGTTAAGACTACGACAGTATCTAATTATCTTTAATCCCCTAACTTTCGTTTACTAATTAATAAAAACATCCTTAGTAAATGCTTTTGTAGTAGTTAGTCTTTAATAAATCTAAGAATTTTACCTCTAATAATTAAATACTAATACCCCTAACTATCCCTATTAATTATTATAGCAGTCCTAGAAACTAATAAAATAGGACTATACGTCCTATTCTATTATTCTATACTAACGTATTTAAGTAAAGGCCTACTTTAAACACTCTAATTTTTTTAAAGTAAAAGTCCTAGTCCCTAATACGCCTAGTAAAGGGCATAAGGTTCTCTAGAAGGAAGGCCTAGCCAGACAAGTACACGCAGTAAGGCGGACCTGCTAGCTAGACCTAAGTTTTAACTACGAGCTTTTTAACTACAACAACTTTAATATACGCTATTAGAGCTAGAATTACTACAGCTACTAGCACTAGACTTGCCCTCTAATTGTTCCTCGTTAAGAGGTTTAAATTGTACTTATTCTAATTATAAGACCTAAAAGAGCCCTATATTAGTATTTATTATTACTACCTCCCTATGTTAGGATTAGGTAATTTACGCGCCTGCTGCCTTCCTTAGATATAGTAGCTATTTCTTAGGCTCCCTCTCTAGAATTAAACCCTAATTCCCTGTTACCTATTAAAACTATAGTAAGCTAATACCTTACTATTAAAAGTTAATAGGGCAGAAATTTAAATAAACTATCGCTAGCGTAAGGCTATACAATCTGTAAAGTTATTATAAATTACTAAGAAGCCCTAAAGGGCGTTAGTTTTTTATCTAATAAATACACCCCTTCTAAAGTTAGGGTTTTTAGCATATATTAGCTCTAGAATTACCACAGTTATCTAAGTAGTAAGGTACTATTAAATAAATAATAACTAATTTAATAAGCTATTCGTAGTTTCACGGTATAATTACTTATACTTAGATATACATAGCTTAATCTTTAAGATAAGTATATAACTACTAGTAGAATTAACTAGGTAATAATCCTATTGCCTAACACGCTAAAGCGCATAAGTAATACCCCTAAAAGGGGGCGGAAAGTACATAATAAGAAGTCGCAAAAACGACTCTAATCGCCCGTATAACAGCGTATAAGGCACCACTATAATAGATAACTAATTTAATTACCCCTACTAAGTTCCTTAAGGTATAGTCTATAATAAAGCCTAGCTAACGTTTCTGCTAGATTAAACTCGCTGCATACATCCCTTAAGTAGAGAAAACCTACGCTCTGCTACGCACGTAAGGCATAGATGCTTAGTAGGGCTATCCCCTAAGATCTAATAAATAGTTTAGCAAAGCTAGCTATCTATAGACCCTAAATACTGCCTACTAATAAAATTTAACTATAGGACTTTAGGTGCCTATAATAAGATTAGGCGTAATACTAAGGCATTGCTTTAATATATAGGCCTAAGCCTGCCTAATTAAGGGATAGATAATCGCTAAGCCCCTAATAACCTTCTAGCTAGAGTAAATATAACTAGACTAAAATCTAGGAAACAAGGCTTGCAAATACAAGACTAAGTAACAATAGCTTTCTATAAAGGCCCTGCAGCGTTAGATCTAGATAGCTCTTAACACACTATAACTAAAGCTAAGGTACAGGCAACAGCTACTAAAAAAGACGCCAAAGCGCCAAAAACAGAGGGGAGCCGCAGGGAGTGTAAGCGCGGACACTAGCAAATATTTACCGCCTTAGTGTCTAACAACGCTCGATTAACTACGTATACAAATAGCAGCTACTAAAGGTATTTAAGTTGCATAAGTAGTTAGGTAATTAGTATTTAAGAACCTATTTGCCCTCCTTATATATTATAGGAACACTATTTGCTTTAATTTTCGCGTTACAGAGTTTATGCAGCAGAAAACAGCTTAGAGGTGCGCTTTTTTGTATAAGAAACCGTGTAGACATGCGCAGCCTTATATAAACTATAAACCCGTATTTACCTTATAAGGAGATGCTTATAATACTATATAATCTTACTAGATTATTTTTAATAGATACTAGGTAGTATATATATAATATATAGTACTTTAAAAATAGGGAAATAAGGTATAGCGTAGGAACTAAATATATAGTTTAGTATAGAAAGGGTAAGAATAGGTAATAGATATAGGATATTATATATTAGTATATATTTAAAGATACTAGTATATAATATAGATATATAGATATATACTATTAGCTAAATTTATAATATTTTATAAAAGAAATAGTACGTAAAATACTAAA